TGGTCGTAAAGCATGAACCACTTTGCTTAATAAAGGCAGTCCCTGCAGTCCCAATAAACATCGTTAACTGAACCCCACAGCTGTTAGACAACACAACTTCATTGACTTCCCACAACCAAAGTCAGCAGGAAAGCCAGCAGAAACGTGCAAATCCCAGGCCCACCAGTAGGTAAGTGGTTGCTACCAGGTGCGGGGAAGGTTTGTTGGAGGTGAAGGGAGGATTGGAGAAGAGAAGGTAAGCAAGAAGAGGTAAGGCATAGCATGAATCCAGGTTTTTGCTAAATTCAGTATAGGCCTTTTGAAGAAATACATATTCTGAGGTCTGGACCCTAATTTATTAGCAATAACGAAGAAAAAAAGAACAAAACCCTGAAGCAACAGAAAACATACTTCTTCCCCCTGTGGCTCAGATTTTCCCCCGCCCCCCATATTTTTTTATATATATATATACAGTTGTTTGATCAGTCTCATTTTCTGAATTTGAAATAATATCACTATAACACTGCTAGCAGTTTCTCTGCTTATTTTTATCTTTGCATGTACAGGTAGTCTTACAACTGTTCATTTAGTGACCATTCAAACTTATAACGACACTGAAAAAAGTGACTTATGACTATTTTTCATAGGACCACTGCAGCATCCCCATGGTCACATGATCAAAATTCATGTGCAACTGACTCATATTTATGACGGTTACAGTGTCCCAGGGTCATGGGATCCCGTTTTGCAGTTTTCGGACAAAGAAAGTCAATGGGGAAGCCAGACTCACTTAACAACAGCGTTGTTAAGTTAACAGCTTGACAACTGCAGGGATTTACTTAACATAAGTGGCAAGAAAGTTCATGACAAGGAACAAAAGTTACTTAACAAATTTGTCACTTAGCAACATAAATTTTGAGCTCATGTCAAGGACTACCTATATTGGTTGTCTTCTTGATGTAGTATATTTCTTTTTTAAAAAAAAAAACTATTTCAGCGCTAGGTGGTGATTGTTTTTTGTTTGTTTTGAGAAAAGGACAAGAAAAAGTTTACGGAAGGAATTCTCAAATTCTGAAATATTATAAATCTTTGAAATGATACATGAATTAGGATGGTCCCATTCCAAGCAAAAACTAGTAATTTCACTGAGGTAACATCTGGGCAAGAAATACACCACTTATTTTAATTGTTCTATTTGATTTAATTATTCTGGCTTAATTATTTCTTATTATTTGATTTCATTATTAAATCAAATAGTGAAAACAATCAAATCAAATAAGACAATGATAAAACTCTGTAACTCTATACAGCAAAACTTTCATTGCTTCATTGAAAATACAGGGGGGGAGGGGGGTGAAACCAATTTAAAACCATTTTAACTATTTTAAATGGTAAGGATAAGTGCCCTTACTTTTGCCTAATTCCTAAAAGTTAGATTTTACGTTCACTAAGTTTAAAAAAAAAGAAGGGACATTTGTTTTATATAGTTTTTTGGGGTACCAGATGAAATCGTGAGTGTTCCTTGCCTTAAGTCAGCTTCTACTAAAACAGGGGTGTCAAACCAAAAGCCCGTGGGCTGGATTCCACCCACTGGATACTTAGATCTGGCTCGCGGCCAACCTGGAAACAGCAAAGGACCGGCCCGCAGTGCCTCTGCTAGCAAAAACAGAGCTCAGGCCAAAAATGGGGTCCAGGGGGCCATGTGCAGCCCCCCAAGCTCCATTTTCACTGGCAGAGTGCGATCAAAACAAACTAAAAACAAAACAAAAGAAGAAATGTTTCCCTTTTTGCATTTCAGCATGCAAGAAGGGATAGGAAAAGAAAAAGGGAAAGAGGAAAGAAAAAGATGGGAAGATGGGAAGAGAGCAAGGAAAGAAAAAGAAGGAAAGGGAAAGGAAGAAGAAAGGAGAATGAAGAGGGAAGGAAAAAGAAGGGAGGGAGGGAGGATAATGAGAATGAGGGTGGGTCTTGTGGAAGTCCTGCCTTAGCACTTGGCCACCACAGGTGCCCCTGACAAGAGTCCCGTGTCACATCCACCATGGCCACATCTGCCCACCCCAGCCACATCTCACCCACCCCCAGCCTTCTGAAATCAAACACAACCCTGATGTGGCCCTCAATGAAAAAGAGGTTGACACCCCTGTCCTAATAGCAATAGCACAGACTAATATACAACTTCACAGTGCTTTACAGCTCTCTCTTAAGTGGTTTTACAGAGTCAGCATATTGCCCCCAACAATCTCGGTCCTCATTTTACTGACCTCGGAAGGATGGAAGGCTGAGTCAACCTTAAACAGTTCTTAAAATGCAACAGCTTGCAAAACACTGGCAGCTTCTTAGGCATCTCTCCCAACAATGCAATAATATCATAGCACCATCATCTCATGTGCTTGACAAATGTTTGTTGCTTGTTAATCCTTTACTCCATTCCTCCTTGTTGAAGCTTCACAAACCCTCCTCACATGCCCTCCCGCTTTCACCTCAGCAATTAATCCCTAGGCAAGTGTTAGGTCAAAAGGTCAAAGGTTTGCACAAGAACCTAGTATCCTCCAGGAATGATTATTCCTCCGCTGAAAACCAAAGATAATATACTAAAATGAAGAAGAAGAACACTCAGGCTAAAAGTTGTGGAAAGATAAGGATACTATACATTCAACATTTTTGCAACAAACTGGTAAACCTGTCAAAAGGAGGGCATCAGAAGAAGGTGCTTTCTTGGTATAAGACCCCCTCCCAACAATCTTGCAAGACCCAACACAAACACTGCTTTGAGAAGCATTGTCTTACAGAAAGAACAGGGGAAGGAAATACTTTCCTTCTCCTGGCTTCTATTTTTAGATAAGGATCAAGAACATAGAACAATTGATTGGGAAAGATGCCTTGTAATATACCAATCTGGCATCCATCAGATAGGTTGAATTAAACGCCTATTCAGTACAATGAACAAAACTGGCATAAAACAAGCAGAAATTGAAAAAGAAAAGATGGTACAGAGACAATCAAGTGGCAGCTGAAGAGCAGAGGCAGAGAGGTGAAACAGTTTGAATTCAAGATGTGGTCTCAGAAGGATTTAAAGAAAACGCCTTGACTTGGCTGAAAGAAAAGTGGAGGCTGTTCCAAATAGGAAATTGTCAGGCCGAACAAACTAAGCAACATAAAACTTCAGTAGTAGAGACTTGCGCCAGAACTTTAGAAAGTAGGAAATAAGAAATTGTTCAAGGGAATCAATGAAGAGAAGAAAGTGCAACTTTTAAATAAGGAAAATATACAGTACAACGTATTTCCAAGAACTAAAAGACAATGGGTTTATTATTACATGATCGTTATGAAATAAGGCATTGGTCTTACCTGATACGCTCCTTCTCGGTGTGCTGAGAGAGAATCCAAGGAATGGGGTTAACTCTGCTCTTCTGCTTGAAGACTGAGTCAATCAATATTCTGTTCATGCCTCCTTTGCCTGCGCATTGCCTAGTTTTGATGAAAGCATAGTGATTGACTTGACATATTTCCAGTGCTGATTCTGGCCACTCCTGGACTTTGGACCAGACAATCACCAGGATGGGGTTGGACACACACCGAGAAGGAGTGCATCAGGTAAGACCAATACCCCTTCTCCAGTGTGTTGAGTAAAGAATCCAAGAAATGGGACATACCAAAGCCGGCTGTCCTAAGGGTGGGTAGCAGTCTGGTCCTGAGGTCCCAAGTTTACATGCACCTTCTGAAGCACCCACCTGCTGAAGGCCACTTCAGCGAAGGTGTCCAGTTTGTAGTGTCTTATGAACGGGGATGGAAAAGACCATGTTGCTCCCTACAGATGTCCTCGATAAAGGCCTCTGTCATCCATTCAGCTGTCGTGGCTGCGCTTCTG